GTGTGACTTTACATATTTCAGGAAGTAATTGAGACACACAGTTGAGCAAAGGAAGCACAGTGTAGATAATCACGGTATCTATGTGGGACATGTTTATCGTGACTGTGTTTTGTTCTCAGTCATTTGTGGCAGCAGTAAGACCCTGACTTGTTGGTGAAATCCTATGAAGTGGGCACACTTGTGATATGCCACTGCATTCAAAGGCTGTCCAAAAGGCTTCCATTTGCCTACATGTCTTTGGATGAAAGATGTGAGGCGTGACTGTTCAGCCATTCTCAGACCAAAATCACTTCCTTCACTAAATCTACTCCTTGGTAAGGAAGGACTTTCACCTCATAAACTCCTCTTCCAGCATGACCAATAGATACTGCAGTTAAAAGCCTCTGTCCAGATTTCACTGTGGTTTTAGTATAGATGTAGGAATAACCAGAGGGCCTGCTTGTTCAATTAAGCCTTTCAAATTAATGACATATTTTGCTTTTGTCATATACGATAAGTTTAAGAAGACGTTTTTTCTCTGTATATGTGTCCCTCAAGCCCTGCTTAAGTGCAGCTTATAAGATGTACATGAGACCTTCATATAAGCTCTCTTCTGCTGGACTGAACTTTAAATTTAAGTATCCTAAATAGTACAATGAAGTCATAGAAATCATGTTTATACATCTACTAGATCATGAATACAGTTATTAAGAGGAATAACCTGATACTGAGAGTTAGTGTTTTTGCAGCACCTAACCTAGAATCACAAAGGGGTTTGGGTTAGAAGGGACCTTAAAGACCATCTAGTTCCAACCCCCTGCCATGGGCAGGGAACACCTCCCGCTAGACCAGGTTGCTCCAAGCCCCATCCAGCCTGGCCTTGAACACTGCCAGGGAGGGGGCAGCCACAGCTTCTCTGGGCAGCCTGTGCCAGTGTCCCAACACCCTCACTTCCTCACAGTGAAGAACTTCTTCCTAATATCTAATCTAAATCTCCCCTCTTTCAGTCTGAAACCGTTACCCCTTGTCCTATCCCTACCCTCCCTGATCAAAAGTCCCTCCCCACCTTTCCTGCAGGCCCCCTTTAAGCACTGGAAGGCCGCTCTAAGGTCTCCCTGGAGCCTTCTCTTCTCCAGGCTGCACAACCCCAGCTCTCCCAGCCTGTCCTCACAGGAGAGGTGCTCTAGCCCCTCTAGACATGATAAGACGTAGTTACAGTCTAGAATCTAGTTATAATTAGGCCACACTATTTCTCAGTTTCCAGGCTGAAAGCCTGGTGCACAATGGTGAACACATTGCAAGCAAGGCTTAGGTCTCATTTTCAGTACTGGCAACTAAAAAATAAAACTGCCAACCATGGTAGAGGTATAAATGTGATAAAATACATTTTAAGGTTTGGGCTTTTTCGTCTGATTTTTTTAAATATAGCTTGATTACTTATAGGGTGCGTTTTGTTAATTTTCAAATGTTATTCTCGCAACCATAATATTAATGAATTTTCAAAATCTTACATCCAAGATTAACATTTTCCACATGGCATACTTAGAATTGTGTATTAAAAAAAAAAAAAAGTATCAAAAGACAAGCAATAAAATAGTGGAAATTGGCAGTCTTAGGGTTAATGAGACCTCCTTTGTCATATAATTTGGTCAACAAAAGGGATGTCTAAGAACTAATGATCTTTGTGTTTATGCTCCTTTGGGAAGCTCATTTTACAAGCCCTCAGATTTCTTCTCTAAATTATTTCCAATGTTCTCAAACCCTGACAGATTCAACCACCTGCTACACAAAATAAAACTGCTAGAAAAACATTACTCTGCTACCACATCAAAATAAGCCCTGCAGCCCTGCCCATGACCATGTTTAGGTCTGAATTGGTGATAACTTGCAATCCATCAGACAAAAATGCAAATCTTTAATAACTGATAAGAACATAGGGCACACCATAAAAAGCTGTCTCATAACAGATTTTTCTTTTTTGTTTTTTGGTTTTCTTTCCCCAAAAGGCAGCAATAGCATTTGCTCTTAATTCTGAAGTCCAGACTTCAAAACTACACCGCAGAACTACTGCTTAGTTACCTTCTCATGTAACCACTCGTGACCCCCATGGCTTTCCTTGAAGGCATGGCCACCTAGGCTCAGCACCACTAAGACATGCCGACTTTATAGATGGAGAGTAATGAAAAATAGTATAGCTACACTGGAGGAGCTGGGTACAGTATTTTTCTCATCGACAGTCTATTGTCAGTAAACACGTTTTGACTGGAGCCAAAGCACTAAGCAAAACTTCAGGGGCAAAAAAGTTACCTAATGCTGCTGGAATGAGGGGGTGTTTTTGATGAATCGCTTCTGATTTTATGCAAATCAGCTCTTGAAGTTTCTCATGATAAACAAAAGACTGCTGTTTGTCTGAAAGAAAATTTTCAGTGATTCAAAACAAAATTTCTTTTAATTACAGAATTCTAAAAATCCTAGGGTTTTTGAGATTTATATTTAGAAGAAAAAAAATCACTATGTGAAATCCTTTACTAAAATCATTTTTGGTACCCATCAAAACTATAAATACTAAATATTAGAAAATAAAAAGGTTGTTTTCTTTGGAATGCACTTCAGAAAAATAATCTCAGTAGTGAGAATGGAGGGGGTTTTTGTAATAGGTTTTTTCCCAAGGCATAAGCTTTTGCTAGGACTTAACAAGGAAAGCCATTTAAAAAAAGGGAATGGATCAGGTATGAACTGATAAAACTTCCCACTTCTTTGACCTTGTAAACTGCACATCATAATGCATGACACATCAGGAAGTTTTCCTAGAAGCAGTAGGTTAGCACATCCTCTTCTTTCCTTTACTGGCTTAAACCTAGTTTTTCACATTCATTACTGTTCATTTATTGAATGGAAAGCATGCATTTTGAATTATGTTAGTTGAAATGCTGGCTGGTTGTGAAACCAAGTACTTGGAGTTGGTCCATTTGAGCCACGTGAATCAGCAGTACTGGTTTACAGTTTCTGCATTTTTTTTCTCTTCAGCATTTCAAACTGATCCTTGCACAGAAGTCCGGTAGAGAAAGATAAAAGGCTCCATCTAGTGGGCAAGAACTTTTTATTTAAAGAAAAAAAAGTAAGATTTTCACTTAATTTTATGCATGAAGAAATACTGCTTTAGATTTTGTTTCATTAAGCTACCATGTTGTTCTTAATTCTTGCCTTCTACAGAGCTATTATTTCATATGCAAAGCTGAAACATTAAGAATTATTCTGACAGTCATCGGCCTCTGCCGTCTCTTCCAAAGGCAAACACCAAAACTCATTTGTCCTGGAATCTGTCCAGAAGCCTGCCTAACACTGCTGTATCCAAAATCATCCTGACAGAATCCAGCACCTTTATTTTAGGTACATAACTGATCTAGTACAGCACCTTTTTTTTTTCTTTTCCCCTTTTTGCTGAACCTTTGCACTGCATTGCAGTTACGCTCCAAACTCCTGAGAAATTCAAATGGCAGGACTCTTCACTTTAAAGCAGTAGTGACACTCAAGTGTTATTACCTCATTCCAGCCAAACACGGCTAGCAGCTGAAACCTTTTCATCATTTCGTTTCAGGCTAACAAGAGTGGGAGCAGGAACAAGTAGCAGCAAGCAGATTTGGCAGAAGCAGCACTGAACCGCGTTCTGTGTCCTGCCTTTTGCCAGACTGTCTCTCATTTTCAAAGCCTGGCATACAGCCTGGCAAGATCAATTCCTCCTGTGCAGCTTCCAGCAATAGGCAGACAGTGTAACATTCATTGTAATAACACATTACTACACCCAAGTTTACTATAGCCCATGTTCACATCCACAACTGGAATATTTGTCTCCTGTGCAAATCACAAAACAGAGCCTAGTGTGTTGTTTCGCACACCTCTTGATCACAGGGAGGTCTCCATTTGCAGCGGGTCATTTGACAGCAAATCCAGAGGATTCTTCCTTCAGTATTAGCGCAGGATTTGGCAATTCTGACAGGCTGATCTGCCTCAGCAGTTCTTCCCTGGTGCAGCTCTCCTTGTATCCTCCATGGAAATGTAACTCGGTGGCACCAGTGAACAAGAGCTGTCATTTGGTGTGTTTTACAGACTAAAACAAAAAATAGTCTTAAAGTTCTTACTCTGAATCTTTATATGGGCAAGGACTAATACTGAACTGACTAGTCTTAAGAGTGCCTTTGGGGAAGTTCATACATTTGCAAAATGCAAGCAATGCTATCTCCAAAAGGGAGGAAACAGAAGATGAAAGTCATAACTGCATTTTGTGGTTTGGGGGCAGCTTTTATCTTTGGTCTCAGCTTGTAGGAAGTCTGTGTAACCCTTAAAACATGTCAGCTAAAACAATACCGAATGGTTGTTTAAAACTGCCAATATTTCAGCATTATCATTACAACTGCACCGTTAGCTGTTTTAAACTCTCCTAAAATTGACATCAGCTATCTTTTAGAGTAATACCACTTGGTTTCTTATGCACATGGACACCTACCTCACTACGCCTGCAACAAGAAAAGATGTAAGTCACTTACTTCAAAGCAAAAGTTGTTAAATGATACCACTTTGAACTGCTGGCCTTTGCTTTAGAATTGTTCACATTTTAAGAGATTATAGGCTTGCTGCTGAGCTAAAGCAAATACCATGTTTGGAACTACAGTAAGATCCTGTGCCTCATTTTACTTTAAATACCTTGTCTAGCACTGGTACTTGAGCTGATGCTAATGAAATACAAATTTCCAGATGTGAAACTCTGGGGAACATTCAATAATCCGCTTTTGTAATAATCTGCTATAAACTCAAAATGCTAATTTGGGGATCGAGTATTAATTTATTCCCTCCACAGGTCATTGGATAGCCTCATACAAGCCTTCTAATTAATATTTAACATAACTATTTTAGATGTTATCTGGGTTAGATTTACTCAGCTGTTTTTTCCTTCTTTGCAGGAAATTTTTTGGTTTTGCATTTGTTTCAAGTGTACCACTAAGTCTCTTCCTTATCTTTCATAGCTAACCAGGTGCTGAAGTTTGGAACGCTCGTCAGTACTTCCAACACCTATGACGACTCTGGGATCGTGACCATTGAGACTGACAAACCTTTGCTGTGGGCAATGGCTATCAAAAGATAAGATCAGCTACAGCTGCCTTTTCTCATCTGACCCAAATTACTGCAAAATTTCACTGAATTAAGACAGTAAAGCTGTTCTGAAAAATATAAGCAGGCACTGATTTTATGTACTGAATAGAAAACGAGTCTGAAATAAAAAGTCACTTGAGATCAAGTCAAGATTAGTAGCAATAATTGATTACTTTGTTGTGGTACCTCACACTACTTAATCATAAGACACATGAGCTGCCACCTAATACAATCACAAACAAAAGTGAATGCAAAGAAACTGCTACTGCTTATCTGGTTAGTTCAGACTACTTTTATGAAGTATTTTATTGCAATACTAAACTATTTTTTTCCCTTTTGCCAAAAGGAAATACCATACACACTTGCACATAGTATAACTACATGAAAAGGTGATAGCACTGAGGATAGTTCATCTCATTTTTCTGTCCTGGTTTGTAACAAATGTAGGTCCTGGTGAAGATTTCTCAAGAAGAGTAATAATTGAACTTTTCTACTTATGAAGCAAGTTTGTGTACTGAAGATGCTGTACTGTATTACAGCTGTTTTGCTGTAATGCCAGGATCAGATCTCCCGTATTAAGTGCTTTTAAGTCTGTGATAGGAGTAGCATTGTAACGCCTGCAAATACCAAATAAGCTTTTTGGAGTGAAATTTCTTAATCTCAATCTGAAGAGGAAGAGCATTGCACCTACCAGAGTTTTTGCAGGCTTGTTTTTTAATATCAAAATCTTCCATCATTTAATAACGGAAACTTCCAGGTCAACAAACGCAAAGCCCTTTGGAATTCTATGTGCAGTTGTCTTACAGAACCAAAAGCAGTATCCAAAACAAGCATCCATCCTATGCAACACCATGAGCAAGCTGTTGGTTTGCTGAAGGACTGCTTTAGTATTTCTGACCACTAAATTCACCTCAAACTGTACATCCTGGTAACCAAGTAAGTCTGGCTTTCTTAATTACGCTATCAGAATAAAGTTTGGCTATGCAAGTTCTTTATTTGATGGTGGTTTTTTTCCACTCAAGTACATAATTTAACATAATAGGGTGTCTAAACCAGAAAGGAATTAGGGGTAATGATGGTGATTCCAGAAATTAGTGGCAAGAATTCCAGCTGATAGGCTTTTAAATCACCACTTGTTATGCTGTTTTCCTGCTGTCTACTTTTCCTGAAACAATGCTGTTTACTAAGCAGCAAATTTAAGCATTTGAGAAGCTTCTGAAGAGAGGCTGTACAGTTGTCAGGTACTGAAAACCTCCAGGGGTGACTGGACAAAGCCTTAAACGACCTCATCAGAATGCAATGCTGACCCAGCTTTGGTCAGTTGGCGCTGGACTAGAGACCTCCCAAGCTTCCTTCCTACCTGAATGATTCTGTTACAGTTGAAAGACATAACAAAACAAATAAAACACTCTAGTACTACTACTAAAAAAAAAAAAAGCCTGTAATGTAGACAGGTATGATCTCACACACACTTTAACAGAGAATTAAGATGACAACGTTTGAAAACCCAAACTGAGCTTGTTTAATAGCAAACAAGTTACAAAGCTGTGAAATCTTTGCAGCAAGTATCACAATGTCTTGTTCTTCATGATGAATATTCAGCCACCTCTGTTGAGAGAACAAAGTAATCAGTTTCAACTAATCAAGCCTGATCGAGTGATCCCTCTGAAGTTTAATTTCCCTTCCCACCGTTGCCTTGTTGGGACAAACAATACTTCTGTTACAGCTTATCTCCTATTTTCAAACATTCCTCCTTGCCTAGAACAGCACTCTTATAGGTATAAGCAAGCCCCATGTCATTGTCACGGAATAGTACGTAACCTGTTCCAGTGGTAGAAAAGGGATTATGTCAGCTCTGGAGAATCTGAGGAGCTTTAATCGGTGGTGTTAATATGTCAGTACCGTGGCTGCCGGTCAGCTTAAGGGCCCAGTTTTTCATGCTGCGACGTTTGTTCCAAAAAGCATTTTACAGAATGCAGCTACATGTAGAACAAAGGTTCAAACATATCTAGCACTCAGTAAATGAAACATGACCAACTTTCTTCTGTGCCCTGCATCTTCCAGCACAATCACTCAGTTTTCTCTACCTTAATTATCCATGCATTTACTTTGGATACCCAAATTATAAACTGGAAACAGTGAGAGTCTGTAAGACCCAAATAAGGTAAGTGTTCTATGGTCAAACACACACTGAGGAACTGGAACTCAAAATATTTTGATGCTGAGTTTTGAAGCAGAATATTCAAAAGAAACCCTGAAGAACTATGGATCTAGTGTTCTGCAGCACACTAAGTTAACAACCTACTTCCTGATTAAGTCCTTTGAATCCAGTAATACCTGTCATATTACACTAACATGTGATGTGCACAGATAATAAAGCAATGTGGATCCTGTAGGGCTCACTAGCATCCTCTGTTTAAAACAGAACAGGTAAAAATGAATGTAAAATTTAGTGAAATTGAAGGTTATATTTACTTACACAATGATATTGTTGATTGGGATATGGATCAATTTGACAAAGAAACCAATAAATCCCATTATCGCAAAGCCTATTGCTGTTGCCATGGCAATCTTCTGGAACTCTGCAAAACCAAAAAAATTTTAGTCTAGGAAGCCTCGTGTACGGCATACAGGAGATGTGCAGTACAGTGACCAAAGCAGAGATCTCCCTTTAGGAAATGGTAATGTTAAGACAGGAAGCAGTTCAAAAGCAAACTGCATTGACACTGAGAACCAAATCCACTTTTTCAGAAGACAGATGAGATTTTAAGAGAGAAGATGCTGCTTTCCACAAAGCATGGCCGATCTCAATTTTTTAAAATAATAAGCAGAATCAGAAATATCCACAGTCCATAACAATTCATGGAAGATTTATTCCATTATCTTTCCTTCATAGCCCTACGAGCCCTGAAAATAATCCCCAATACAGTATCAAAAACCAAAAAGCTTCATTTATGTCTGTCACAGGAAGACAGCATCTTAAGTGTCCATAAAAATCAAGTACTCAAGTGATATTCTCAATTGTTTTAAGACAGGAACCATGGAATGGACCAAGGTGGTCAAAGGCCTGCACAACCCTGCCAGTCTGACAGTGAACAGAGTTCCTTACTGATCTCAAAAGATGTCAGTAAACTTCACCCTGAGCCCGTGAATAAAGCACTGTAACTACTACCATTAAGGACAACCAGTTGCTTTCTGGATGTAGTTACAGCTTCTCCCTACTGCCTTTGAGAAAGTCCAAAAACTTCCAGCAACAAAGTTCTTCCCATTCCCAGGCAGTCACTGACAACTGTGAAGTACTGAATGGGCACTGCAAAAAGCAATCCTAGCTCCTTCCGAGTCTCCTAAAATGAAGTGTTTCCTCCAAAGTTGTGTAACAAGCAGTTTCCTCCAGAATTTCCCCCAAGTTGACTGCACTCAGTCAAACTTGACTGCTGCGTTTGTGTTTTCAAAGTGCATGCAAGTTCTTCTCAATTCAGCTTACCTAATACATGAAAATTGTTACTTGCCTGTCTCAAAATGGCTAATTTCAGGGACTTAGCCTTTTTCATAAGGTGAGTTTTAGTACCACTCACACAAATCTGACTAAGTACATATCAGAAAAGGGCACATTCAAGTTTATTATATCCAGAACCATTAACCCATTAACAACTGGACAACTGCTCAAGTTTAAATCTCATCTTGGAGGCTGAGAAACATTCATGACAAATAAGTCACATATAGAAAGATACACAGTAAAATATAGGACAACATAAGGACATGTTCTGTTTTTATTGTGTGCTTTACCTTTCCTGTCAGGCTTGGTGCATCTTTTAACGAGTCGTATGGAGTCTTTTACAAACTGACGGCTGGGTTCCACAAATTGCATTACCTGATCCATTATTACTTGCAAAGATGAACAGCTTTATTATTGGTGGTGCCACGTATATACTGAAAGAGAGAATTCTTTAATTACAGAAGTAGAAGGAGCAGTTACCTACAAAATCTGTAAAAACTTAAGATAAAGTGTCATATTCCAGCCTAACTGGACTTTAAAATATACTTCCACTTTGCTGAAAATAAAGACACTATATCAATACATAAACACAAGGACCTACCACTGCCTGCAAAAAAATAGGAAAAAAATATACCTTTCAGCATAGAAGAGGAAAACAACAGCTCCATCACAGTTTGCTTTCAGCTGATGTCCCACAGTGTGTTTCTAAGAACACTACTGAGGGCGCCTAAACAGACAAAAGTCACCCGCTTCAAGAAGTCCCCAAGCCAAAACCTGCCGGCGGGCC